TTGGAGATGAAATCTCTTGGAATTTTCTGCCTAAGCTAGATTTGAATATCTATCCTCAGATCTCAGCCTCCTGAATAGCTCACAGGTGTGAGCCACTAGCACCTGGTATGAGAATATGTATATATTCTTCGAGTATTTTTTATGGGGGGGGGGTCCGGTCATGGGGCCTGAACTCTGGGCCTGGGCGCTGTCCCTCAGCTGTTCAGCACAAGGCTAGCGCTCTACCACTTGAGCCACAGCGCCACTTCTGGCTTTTTTTTTCTGCTGCTTATGTGGTGCTGAGGAATCGAACCCAGGGCCTCATGCATGCAAGACAAGCACTCTACCACTGAGCCACCTTCCCAGACCACTGAGAATATGTATATATTCTTAATTCCAGAATTTAAGATCTACTGCTTCCACATACCTAGTTGTAGAGCCTCACATAAATCAATTCATTTCATAGCCCTTTTTCACCAATGGAAATTAACACAGCTAAAAACAAGAGTAGCTGGGCACTGGTGACTCACACCTATAATCCTTGCTACTCCGGAGGCTGACATAGAGGATCATGGTTTGAAGACAGCCTGGGTGAGAGAGACTTATCTCCAATTAACCACCAAAAAGCCAGAAGTGAAGCTGTGGCTCAAGTGGTAGAGCATTAGCCTTGAGTATAAAGAGGCTGAGGGCACAGTGCCCAGGCCTTGAGTTCAAGCCCTAGGACCAGAAAAAAAAAAAGTATATTAACCTTTGGGAGTGTTTTTGTTTTGTGTTTTGTTCTCTGGTAATGAGGTTTGCACTCAGTCCTCACCCTTGCTAGGAAGGCTCTTGAGCCACATGCTCAGGCCTTTTGCCTTCTTATTTTTAGGTAAGACTCGTGTTTCCTCCGCATGGGTGTTAGATTCTAAACCTCCAACCTACTACCTTCCTGGTAGCTGGAACCTCAGACGTGAGCCAGTACGGGGGGGGCACCATCTTTACCAGAGGCCTGAGAGGCGAGTACTATTCCTCACAGGGTCTTGTAAACGCCTAAACGAATGAAATGGCCGAGGGTTAACCCGTGGCACAGACCAGGACCGGCGTCCAGACCGTGTCACTGCGCCTGCGCGGTGCTGGCTGGTTCCTGCCGGGACAGGGCGCGACCCCAAGCTGGTCGGCAACTCACTAGCGCCCGGTGCGCGCCCGGTGCGCGCCGAGCACGCGGAGGGCGGTGCGGACGTGCCCCCCGCACTCACCGCTTCCACACCCGGCCCGGAGCTCGCCCGTCACACCGGGTCCGCCCACCGCCGCGCTCCGGCCCGAAGGTTCCGCTGCGAAACCCTTGCGCTCTCCAATGCCGCCCTCTGCCGGCCACTCCCCTCCGCCACCCGGCTGGGGAGGCGGTCCCGGGTGCCCCGGAAGTGAACCTTCGTCTCCTCTTCCGGGTTGAGCGTCCGCACGAGGTGGTGCTGTCCCGCGCAACTTGAGCCGCGGTGCCGAGTGAGTGAGGGGTGGGTGCGGGGCCGCCATGGAGGGTCACGGCGTGGAAGCGCTGCTGGCCGAGGCGGCGCAGGCCGAGGCGGAGACGCTGCGGCGCATCACGGTGCACAAGGAGCTGGAGCTGGAGTTCGACTTGGGGAACCTGCTGGCGGTGGACCGGAACCCCCCGACGGCGCTGCGGTCGGCCGGGCCCGCGCCGGAGGCCGAGGC